GTCAACTTCAAAGAACTCCCCCCCGCCGTAAACAAGAAACGCCTCATCCAGAAAGCCGTCTTCGATGAACTCGTCAAACTCGTCGATCCCCACGCCGAACCGTTCCGACCGAAGAAGGGAAAGAGCAATGTCATCATGTTTGTTGGTCTCCAGGGTGCTGGAAAGACGACCACATGTACGAAGCTCGCGCGACACTACCAGTCCAGAGGTTTCAAGGCGTGTCTGGTTTGTGCGGATACCTTCAGAGCTGGTGCTTTCGATCAGTTGAAGCAGAACGCCACAAAAGCCAAGATCCCCTACTACGGTTCCCTCACAGAAACGGATCCCGCCGAGGTTGCGAGGGCTGGTGTTGACCAATTCAAGAAGGAGAGATTCGAAGTCATCATTGTCGATACATCAGGTCGCCACCGACAAGAGTCTGCTCTCTTCCAGGAGATGGTGGATATCCAAGAAGCCATCAAACCCGACGAGACTATCATGGTCCTCGACGCTTCGATCGGTCAACAAGCAGAGTCACAGGCCAAGGCGTTCAAGGAGGCAGCTGATTTCGGAGCCATCATCATCACAAAAACCGACGGCCACGCACACGGTGGTGGTGCCATCTCTGCAGTCGCCGCAACACACACCCCCATCGTCTTTATCGGTACCGGTGAACACATGCTCGATTTCGAAAAGTTTGCCCCCCAACAGTTCGTCCAAAAGCTCCTCGGCATGGGCGACATGGCTGGATTGATGGAGCACGTACAGAGCCTCAACCTCAACCAAAAAGACACCATCAAGCACATCCAGGAGGGTATCTTTACCGTGCGCGACCTCCGCGACCAGCTCTCCAACATCATGAAGATGGGCCCCCTCTCGAAAATGGCCGGCATGATCCCCGGCATGAGCAACATGATGCAGGGCATGGACGACGAAGAAGGCGGCGCCAAACTCAAGCGAATGATCTACATCTGCGACTCAATGACCGAAAAGGAACTCGACTCGGACGGCAAGATCCTCATCGAACAACCCACCCGAATGACACGAATCGCACGAGGTTCCGGCACATCAGTACGCGAAGTCGAGGACCTCCTCACCCAACAACGAATGATGGCAGGCATGGCAAAGAAGATGGGCGGAAACATGAAGAACATGCAGCGAGCCCAACAGGCCATGGGCGGAGGAAACAAGGCACAGCAATTAGCAGCCATGCAAAAGAGGTTACAGAGCATGGGCGGTGCTGGCGGTGCAGGCGGTATGCCCGATATGGGAAGCTTGATGAAGATGCTCGGCGGAGGAGGAGGAGGAGGTATGCCCGGTGGTATGGATATGCAGGCCATGATGAGACAGATGGGTATGGGCGGCGGCGGCATGCCTGGAATGCCGCCTACAGCAGGAAGAGGTAGAAGGTGAGCATGCATTAAATGGAATACCGATTGCCTGTCACTTTTGTCCCTGTCGACTACCTAGTATAAGTATATGCATCTTAAAAATTGAAGATACCCTGACCTGTACTGATTACACCTGCGACACGATGGATGTCCCTCCGGGGGCTCCTGGCGGAGGGCCTGTTCTCGCTCCGCTCGGGTTTGATCATATGGATCTCAGCAGGATGTGATGTATCGGCTATGGAAATTGTACATCAGAAGCACCCTCCTCCGAGACACCATGACACTCCATGTCCAACATGAACACAACGTAAGTTCGTTGCCATAGTTGCTCTCATAGTCTCAGCCTGTCAAACAACGTAATGAGCTTCCAACGGTACAGAAAATTCTCTCGGATCTCACCTCCGGAACTGTAAGTCATTCGTCGATTGCGTCAATGGTCTAAACTGAGGATAACTTATCTAAACTCATCATAAGCCTGGAGTACATTCTCTGGGTGACTGGTGGTCATAGCAATCAGGCGCCTTTCCTGATCAATAATCTGCAGCGATCTCAGCTGATAGAAATAGAACAAAGTAAACGCTTTGATTGGTAGAGGCCGAGGTGGTCGCATCTAACCGCCGGCTTGGATTGACAAGGGTGAACCAACAACACCATGGATTCTCAGACACACATAAAACCGCAGACAATAATGAACCCCCGAATCAAATGTACAACAATTATCTCATTTCATCACTTACAATCTGATTCTCAAAATGCCCTCAATTGATGCTGATACGCCCCTTCCCTCAACTGAGGGTATCGCGGAAACCAACTCCAGTCCACCTTCCAACAGACACCGCACTCCTTCAGTCTCTCTTACCCCTCCTGGCGGGGCCAGGGAAGAGTCTCATGGGCTCACATCTGCTATCAACAACATCCGTCTCTCCGACACAAATGGTACTCTCAACTGATCATCGAGACTCCGCTAACATGGCCAGGACACGCATCTCTCTCCCCAGAACCGAGACGTTCTAGAAATGGCACACCACGAAGACGGCGCTCAAGCACTGGAGCTGTTCAGCAGCATGATGTCGCCGATGAAGAACTCCCTGATGATGCATTCCATTCCCCAGAATTCCAAGGGGCTTTTCGAGATGCAAAGCAGCTAATGTCCAACATTCAATCTGTGCTTGGAAGCTCTAACATCCACGAAGGGTCCGAGTCAACCATGCGAAACCTACACGAAGAGGCTGGTAAGCTCGCTGCGTTTGAGTACCCAGCAACTCGTACCGTTGGATTCGTCGGAGATTCTGGAGTTGGTAAGTCACCATTAGATGTGATTGCGCCGCTGACAGTAGTAGGGAAAAGTAGTCTGCTCAATTCACTCCTCGACACAAAGGGACTTGCCAGGACTGTAAGTAATTGCCCAAGTTTCGGACCACGCTGACTTCTCAGAGCAACAATGGAGAAGCCTGCACATGCGTTGTGACAGAGTACCATTATCACAATCGCGACACGCTTGACATCCGAGTCAATCTGTTCTCGATGGAGGAACTCCAAGATCAACTCGGTAGACTGCTTCAGGTTTATCGCACGTTTGAACTTCATCAGGATGAGATTACTGATGCCGCTGAGCGTCAAGACATGGAGGCAAATGCCAAAGTGGCCAAGGATACGTTTCAAGCCATGTTTCGTGGCCGACTGACTGATGAGGCATTCCTGATTCGTGAGAATTATGAGGATGTGCTCGAAAGACTCACTAGTTGGGCAGCTGATGCCCGGCCTTCACCCTTGATGACTCTCCATACCGGCCTCTCGACGCAGGCTTGTTCCAACACATTGATGGAGCTCTCTTCTGAACCGGCATCAAGAGATTCTCCAGCGACGTGGCCCTACATTCGAAGCATCAAGCAAGTACCTCACCAGATACGTCCCCAGGACTGAGTCAACTAACAAGAAAGGGTCTTTTTGAATGCGCACATCCTCAGCCGAGGCTTGATCCTTGTAGATCTACCCGGCCTTCGCGACCTCAACTCTGCTCGAAGGATCATCACCGAACGCTATCTCCTGGAGTGCAACGAGATCTTTGCAATCTGCAACATTGGGCGTGCGGCTACTGACGAGGGCGTTCATCAGGTTTTTGACTTGGCTGACCGTGCTCGTCTGTCGAATGTCGGCATTGTCTGTACTAGATCTGATGTAAGTTGCTGTCGGCATGTGTGAACTCGCTGACTTTGTAGGACATCGACCCTGAAGAGTCAATCCGAGACTGGCCAGGCAGAAGGGCAAGGCATATTGAGCAGCTGTTGGAGCATATCGAAGGGATCACCAAAGAGATAGAGGAATTGCAAGCAGATATTGAAGACTTTGGGGCGAGTGACCTATCCGAGCAAGAAAGACAGGAATTTGCAGAATGCTTGGAAGAACAACGACAAGCAAGGTATGTTTCCGACTGCTGGCGGTAACCACTAACAATTTCAGCATACGAAAACAGAACTACGAGTTTGAGTAAGTTGGCAAACATCGACTGACTTGCATGCCGACTAACATTACAGACTCAAACAATATCTGATCACAACCCGTAATCAGGTCATCACCGACTCACTCAACACCACCTACGCCGGCCGCGTGACACCCTCCAGAGTCTTTTGCGTGAGCAACACAATCTACTGGCAAAACAGAACTGTCAAAAAGTCAGAGGCCAAACGACATCTCGACCTCAGTGGCATCCTGCAAGTCCGAAAACATTGCATCTCGATTGTCGCAAACAGCCAACGACGCATCGCTACGCAATACATGAAAGACCAGATCCCTGCGTTGCTTGCAGACATTGAGCTATGGGTCCAATCTGGAGCCCGCACTGCGAGTGAAGAACGTCGTGAGGCGCTCTGCCAAACTCTCGATAGTGTTGAGCGTCGTCTGAGGAAGGTATGAGATTGGTAAGGTTGTGTTCTGACTGACTTTTGTAGGACTTTGCATCGCGCGCTTTTAGTCGTCTAGCAAGAGGATACAACGAAGACTTTGCGGAATACGTTTGGAACAGTGAGTACCTCGGTTCTGTTGGAATGACGCTGACCTTTAGATCGACATGTTTCTTCATGGAGCCGGTCAGCCAAAAGTGCAAGCCAAGACTGGGCAGGGGTACGTTCTCGCGATATTGTTTGACAAAGCTAACACATTCAGTGGCATCACAGTGAGTTGGCAATATCGCAGAGGTTCGGAACTGACGAACAGGTTCTTATTCCGCATTCTGTCGAAACTTTGGGGACTATTGCACCCCCGCAATCGGATCACGAAATTGGAACGAAGAGGCTATGGATGATATGGTTACTGATCTTGAAGGGCCTTGGGAGGGGATGTGTGGAACTATACAGGAGAGGCAGTCGAGTATGCTTGAGAATGCAGACGAGTTTGCAGATGTGGCTATTGAGAGGCTTGGTAAGTAGCATACCACAGACCGGGCCTGCTGACATGAGTAGAAAAGCATGATTCTGTCGATTCCTTGACTCGAGCTCTTGAAAACCGTCAGAGCATATTCCTGGCTGCTATTGAAAAGGTCAATGATGACTTTGACAACAGTCTCAGGTGAGCTGTCCATTCTTCCTCAACGTCGCGGTGAACAGCATCGTCACTAACATCACAGGATCCTCCGCATCGAATCCCTCTCCGCCCTTCGAAGTTCACTCTTCGGAAAAGCGATGGAACCATTCTACAACAAATGCAATGCCGAGTTCGGTACGTTCACACATCTTCTACGGACACAGCTAACCCTCCAGGCCGTGGAAGTGATGCCCGTCGAAAGGCAATCATCAGAGGAGCATTGAGCGACGAAGATTTGTTCCAAAAACTCATGAGAAGTCTCAAAGATAGTTTCAAGGCCAATTCAGAGGCCACTCAGGTGAAGATACAGGAAGCGATCGTGGAGTATCTTCGCGTTATTGAGCAACGGTTCGACCTTGTGCGGAGTGAGAATGTCGCTCGGGAAAGCGAGCAGGATCCAGACTTTCGACTTCGCGTTGAGCAAGTTGCGCGAGCTGGAAGAGAGACTATGCAGAGGGTTCATCAAGTTATCTGATTTTGATCTTCATGTCCAATTGACTTTTGTTATCCAGATTGCCTGTTCAGGAAGCGGGGCTGGTTGTAAGAAGGCGTTACATCACACACCACCTTCTGAGAACCAGAGGACAAAACATTTCGTCGAGAATTTTTATGTTAAACTTCTTATCATCCCAAAATGTCTACTCGCACGATGCTTCGACGCGGTCTGCCACTCCGTCATGTCTCGTTCCGTCGTTACATCTCGACTCGAGACATGACGGCTGCAGATCTAAAGAAACTCAAGGTTGATCAATCCCGATTGATGGACACTCTTCACGACACATGTAAATGGGGAACCGGACTCAGATGGGGAGAGTAAGTCTCGCGGCTCTCGTCAGATCAAGCTAACAGGTTAGAAACCCGACCGACACGGGAATGTCACGGCTGGCACTTTCAGATTCAGACAAGACAGTCCGAGATTGGTTTGTCGAGACTACAAAATCTCTCGGATGCAAAGTGACCATTGATTCAATTGGAAACATCTTTGCGATTCGACCTGGTCGTAAAGATGGTCCTCCCACAGTTGCTGGAAGTCATCTGGACACCCAACCCACCGGCGGTCGCTACGATGGTATCCTCGGCATCCAAGCAGGAATCGAGATGCTCAAGCTTCTTCAAGACCACGATGTCGAGACAGAGTACCCTGTCGGTGTGATCAATTGGACAAAGTAAGTCACCCTCTTAGAGTCGACAATTCTGACCATTTAGTGAGGAGGGCGCACGATTCCCAATCAGCATGATGGCTTCTGGTGTCTGGGCTGAAGCAATCTCGCAAGACCGCGCGCACAACCTGAAGGAGGTATCCGGTAACGCAACAGTCAAATCTGAACTGGAGAGAATTGGCTATCTCGGTGATACACCCGCAAGCTACAAGGCCATGCCAATTGGGGCGCATTTTGAACTTCACATCGAACAGGGACCAATTCTCGAGAGGGCTGGAAAGAAGATTGGCGTCGTACAAGGTGTTCAGGCCTACAAGTGGTTCACCATCGACATCACTGGACGAGGTATGTCAACTCTAAGGTACTCAGATGAACATGCTAACCGGTTAGATGCTCACACTGGTTCAACCCCATTCTCCGATCGAGCCGACGCTCTCTTACTCGCTGCACGATTGATCACTCACTCTCATCGACTGGCGACAAAGCACAAGGCTCTTGCATCGACTGGCATTCTGAACCTCACTCCCGGCAGCACCAACACCATCCCCGGTCACGTCAGCTTCACTCTTGACATTCGCTCTCCATCCGATGAGACTGTCGAAAAGCTTGAAGAGGAGCTGCGCCGCGACTTTGATCTCCTCGCCCAAGGAACAGACGTAGGCGGGGTACTGGCAGGATCAACTCCTGCTCTACCGCAGTCTCTCAAATGGCGAACCGACACAATCTCAACTGCCACAAAGTTCCACCCAGATTGCATCCAAGCAGTCAGAGAATCCGCCGAGTCTATTCTTGGAAAAGATGCAGCTGTCGATATCTCTAGCGGCGCTGGTCACGACAGCGTCTACACAAACAAGCATTGTCCTACGACCATGATCTTCATCCCGTGCAAAGGAGGAGTCAGTCATAACCCGGAAGAGTACTCGTCTCCCGAAGAGTGTGCAATTGGAGCAGAGGTCCTGTGTCAGGCAGTTGTCCGATATGATCAGAAGAGAGTATAACAGTCTACCATGGTGAATATCCCTCCGGGGGCTCCT